AACGAGACAACAGACAGAGAATGTTTTATTTAAAAACGTCACAAAACCTTCTCGCTACCTTAAAGTCCTTCACTCCACTGCCCACGTCTTCAACAATACCGGCGAGGTCCATACCAAGAGTGTAAGGAAAAGTTCTCGGACCGTAATCTCCACATCGGATAAAAGCCTCATGGGGATTGACCCCGGCGGACTTTACTCTAATAAGGACCTGTACAAGAACAATAGGACTTTATTAATATAAGTTTATATGCGAATATGTATGGCAGTACATGTTTTCACGTCACGTGACTAACCTGAATGTCCTCAACAATTTTTGGTTTTTCAACACCAGTTCTAAATTTCATGACACTTTCATCGCCGAATTGGTCAATCTGTACAGCATTCATTTTTCTGTGGAGTAAAATACAATGAATTCTACCGGTGACTGAGATATCTACCTCTACAAAATTTACTAAAATGTGAATATTATAAAATACAAACAAATAACTAAGAACCAGATATAGGTTTACACATGAATGTCATTTGTTTCAGTCCGCTATCAATGCTTCATATTCTAGTTGCCCATTCCCTCTGGGTTAATGATATTTACATAAATGCCAGTGAAATTAATTTAATGTTGATTTCCACAGCTCATAATTTAACTAGTATGACAATTTAACATGACAATTTTCGTGGCAGAAGTCTCATGACATTTACTTAAAATAAAATCCAAAGAGTAATCCAATGATTGACAGTAACTTACAAAGACTCATGGGTGATAGGCGTTATCAAATGGTTCAATGGCCAATGATAGAGTTTACTTGGGGTTTGAATAAAATGCGAGGGTCTTCCAGGGTAAATGTTTTAGAAATATTTAAAGCGGGAGAGTCGTCACTTGCGCATGTGTCAGGTGGCCATAGCATGTCATTGTTTACAAACAAGCGTCTACCCACGAGTGTTTGCGTTTTTAGCGTGTGTTGTTATCGTCACCTGGGACCCAATTTCCGCGTGCGCAGGTGACGAACCTCCCGCTTTAATACATCCACAAAAAATCCGTTCATGTGAATGTAGCTAAGGGATTTTCAATGGGTGTATACAATACAACACAAAATGATTAAATATTAATATATTAAAATGAAATATTTGTAAACATGTATGGTTATTTTTGCGATGTACGTAATGACTATATGAAACACATGTTAAAAGCAAGACGAAGTGTTTGAATCGGGCTTGGGCGCCAAGCATGAACATAAACAGTATTGTAATAAAACAAATCATCATGTCTATAATGTGATTTTTTGACGTACCTTACCTCACAGGTTAGAACTGACCCTGTAGATCAGCCATTCCAGATTATACCGTCATTTAAGGTTGTATTATGACTCTAAGATTCTTAGCAAAAAATATCCAATTCAATGTGTTTTTATACGGGGTTATCGGTAACCATTTAGTACATGATTTGCACCTTAACTCCCGGGAATAACAGAATACAATATTTCTATCGAATATACCAAACACAACTTTCAGCAATATTCATATATAAACGTAGCTGCAGTAGCTAAACATTGCAGATTATACAATATTTGTTTTACTTTTTTTTATATACATTTCATACAATTGTAGAAGACACCACTCACTAATTATATTTCATTTTTTCAACCTAGAGAAAATCGTGATATGAAGAAATAATTTTCAAAAATGCAAATTTTTACCATTTTTCATGACATTTTGAAATTTCTCGTGACCCCATTTTTTAAATGGCGGTAGTCGTCGCGCCACGCATCATATAAACAGCGTATAAACAATGATGGCGACTTTGACTGCTTTGCAGAGTACAAACTGAGACGTTACGAAGCTTTAATTAGGTATTTTTAGGTGGTTGGAAGGTATCGAAAGAGTCACCGGTGGTAATTGTACAAGTCGTTGCCAAGTAAAACTTCATATTTCCATTAGAAGAGCGCATTGGATTATAGGAATATCAATGTTTATCAACACAAATGTCGCACATGCGCAGCGCGACGACTACTGCGCTTTAATATTTTTTGATTTTTTGAAATCCTAAGTACCCATGACACACCTTATACAATATTACATTTTTGGACTATAAATTCTTAGGGACTATATGAACGTTCAGCTACACCACACTTGCAACTACCGCACCCAGTTAACTGCAGTACAACACAGGACGTCTTGCGACCCCGCACTAAAAATATGCCATGTCATGTTTCAAGTCGATAGGCCGGGGTTCGATAGTCTGAGGGTTTAATGGCACGAAAGGTTCAATTGTGAATTAATGGGCCTTGGTGATATTCCTGGTGACATTTCCGTCATCTTTATTGGGAATACCCTAGATATAGGTTCAAATAATACAATTTCATTTTCACACAAAACAGCAACGAGTCCTTACTAAATTTCTACATAGACCATACATACTTATGCACAGGAAATCTAGTCAAACCAATGAAATAGATGTGTACGGTAAAAACGACATACCTTAAGTTGTAGTTGATATCAATAGGCGTACATGAGATGAAAGTGGTTCAGTCAGCTGTTTCTAAAGGTCAAATGCGCTGGTTAGTTGACCCTAACTGCACTGAGCATTGCTTCATTACTGGAGTAAACGGTGAGCGGTGATCACAATTCGGTGAACAAAAAGCCATGCGAAAAATAGTCACAGGGAAAACATGAATACAGTCACGGTGAAAAGGTCACCGAGAAATAACAGTGAGTTGGGACAATTGTGAAAAGGGCTGGTTTGTAGTTATTTTTGAATAAAGAAGGACGCACACAGTCTGGTTTGTATGTTCGTGCATTGACCCCAAACACTGCCCTGTTATCGCCATAAAACCAGGCGTTTTAATAATAGACAGCGCAATGTATTATAATTAGGGTTTATCCAAATGCCATGTACTAAATTTGTTCATAACGTTAAAGTGTGCGTTTTCCTTGCAGTTAATTTTGTATTTAAAATAATGAAGAGCGGTATATATATGGGGTTTGTTCATATTATTTCAAGAATGGTAGTGTTCGATTAATATATAAGGCCGTGTATATAAAATCGCGGACTGCACAATGACCACCACCCTTTCGCTAGAAAAAGCACATTATCTTTCTTTTATTACTATAGTATGAAAAGTACGAATTTGGGGTTGAAGATCAGAACAAGACATGACTTGTCTATGTACAGGTTTGGGTATGTCGCTGTAATATTGATCATTGAACTTTAAAGCCCGCTTGCAGGGATTGAGTGATGACACCAACTTGATGTAGTTAGATAATATTAAAAACTATGCTCACTTTATCATGATCAAGAGTATGGTCACCGAAATACCTATTGCAAAAGTGATGTGACAAACACACATGAAAAAATTTCCTCTGATAATCATAAATCATAAGTAGTTATAAGTTGAGTTGTCCCAAATTATTAGGGTGTTCTGGCGAATCAAATTTATTTGTAATGAAATAATGATTGAACATAAACTCGTTTAGAAATAGTTCTAAAAATGATTGTTTTTTTTCCAACAAAGTATTTGATACTGGGGAAAAATAATCAAGGTTAATGACGTGTGACTCACAATTACGTAACACATTTGAAAGAAAAGTACATAAGTTTTTCATCGCTTTTATTCAATAGGTTGAACGCCCGCAAGTGACATACATCTTTCGGTCGGTGCAACGATCAGAAACTATGTTAGATAGAGATATTGCAGATTTTTAAGAACATAATCGTATATATTTTGGTGAAAATATTCAGGAAATAAACTGTATTTGAAAAACAAAACAAAACATTTACTAAACTAAGTAAAATGAACAAGTACCCATCCGATGTATAATTCTGCAAGACAGAAAAAAAGGTTAAATGCGACACGATTACTTAAGTTTGTGTATAATAGTTACTGGTCCCACCCCAATACAACGGTGTTTATCCGACGTGTTATTCTTAGCAGTGTGAAATACAAGAATAGATATTTCCCATGGCAAGAGATGCCAAATTATTGTATTCAACACACATTAGATTGCACAATGCAGGTATTATAATACACCGTGGGAACACACTCTCTGGATTTGTTTTCTGCACGTTGCTGGCTAAAATAAGAGCTATAATAAGAGCTAGATCGCGAGAATGAAAGAGCTATATTCAGGAATTTCAGTTTTCATGTGTATTCTATGAACAATGTTAGATAAGATGTTTGAGCAAGAATATATAATCAAATAGATTTTCAGCTAAGCTAAATTTTGTAAGCAGGAAATAATAGCATGTGTCGTTGTCTTTCTCCCGGCTTTTAATAGCTACTCAACGAAACATGTCCCAACCAAAAATGTAGAAATAACTGTGCCTATAGCGTCTGGGGAAAGTGATTGTGGGATTGTTCACTATCACCCATAATCCCCCTGGCAAGGACCAATTATTATGACCCCAATCATTGGATTTTATTTGTAATTTTAATTACTCATACTCTTGTTATTAATGTCACAATCAGTTTACTAGACTTGCACGTAGTCCCTTGTTTTTTTTAGATGTTTTTTCAATAAAATAAAATATTATTTTGTATATAAGGTATATGATAACACCTTTATGGCCTAGATACGGCTTTTGCTGCCCTCGATCATACGGCTTATGCGCCCTCGTATCAAGCCCATAAAGAATAATATGTATATTTTAAACACGAAAAGTCAAGATCACAGTCTAAAATTATGTGTACTCACTATGTCTAGGAATACTAATGTATAGGAACTTGAAATAGCTCGGGCCTTTAAACTTGGTACACACGTTCTCCATCTAACTAAAAATATATGTTTGGGACAGAAAGTCAAAGGTCAATGTCATTATTTGTTTAGATGTTCAGTATTGAGTTCCAATAGGTTAGCATAAAATTTGTCTGTACAACTCGCATGACCTGGTTACAAGGTCAAAGTATAAGTTTATGTATTTTCGTAATGTAAAAAAAGGATTGCCTGAATGAAAACTTGGCACACATATTCCACATGTGACCCCTAACACTTTAGCTGTAACCATCTGTTGATATGTTCAACTCACAGTTTGTATTACATATATACACAAAGGTCACTCTGGCAGTTAGCTGATACATATTTAATTACTAGACCAAAATACTTTTCTTCGATTTGTATATGATCGGGAATTTC